GTAAGGGCGGCCTCGCCGCTGCGCGCGTTCGCGGAGGGGAAGGGAAGGGAAGGGGGGTCCGGGCGCCGTGGGTGAAACTGTCCTGGCATTCGGTGATCAGAAGTGTTTTGACCTAAGCGCTAGCTATGGGTTATGGATGGGAACCGTCTGGCATGGGATTTATAGACTCTTCTAAAGAAAAGCATAGCAACTCCAGGACTGCAGAGTCCACACCTCTCCAGGGCAGGCAGGGAAGAGGAATCTAGTGTAGGAACTGGCAGGAAGAGGAATGGGACAGGAGGCTGCTGTGCTTGGCACCCCGTTTGCTCTTATCCTGCCTGCCTAAGCAAGTGCTCTTCCTTGTATCCCGTTATGAGGGCTACCCCACACCTGGCTGCTGAGGTGCCAGAACTGCTGGGGCTGTTGTGCAGCTGCAGGAGCTGGCTCTCCTGTGACTGCTGGCTCCTTTGCAAGAAAGCAGCTCCTGGGGGCTTCGGTACTGTCACAGCTTCTGGCTGTGCGCTTAACACCAGGCTCTGTCCCTCACATTAGAGGGAACTCAAGTAGCTCCAGAAGATAGCTGCTTAGCTCAGTTTCTTCCTGTCCCTTGCTCACGGTCTGACCTCTCTCACTGTTTGCTCTGATCTCTCTGCAGAGTCAAGGGGAGATGATAACAGCGTGTTCGATCTCTTTGAGCTCATCGGCTTTATTCGCAAGGGAGCCGGGCGCCGGGCGCCCGGGGTGCACCTGGTGAAGGGACCAGAGTCTTCCAGCCCTGCTTACCGTATTGAAGATGCCAGCCGCATCCCGGCCGTCCCTGACGACAAGTTCCAAGACTTGCTAGACGCCATCCATGCTGAGAAGGGCTTCATCCTTCTGGCCAATCTCCGGCAAGCCAAGAAGAGTAGGGGCACACTGCTGGCCGTGGAACAGAAAGATGGCTCTGGCCACGTCTTCAGTCTAGTATCCAACGGCAAGGCAGGCACCCTGGACCTGAGCCTTACTGCTGAGGGTGGCAAGCAACATATAGTGTCAGTAGAGGATGCCTTGCTGGCTACAGGACACTGGAAGAATATCACCCTGTTTGTGCAGGAGGATCGGGCTCAGCTCTATGTGGGCTGTGAGAAGATGGAAAATGCAGAACTGGACATCCCCATCCAGAACATCTTCACTAGGGATCTGGCTAGCAGTGCCAGGCTCCGTATTGCCAAAGGAGGAGTCAACGATAACTTCCAGGTGAGACTTTTTTGGCTGGTATTCTCAGTTTTCTACCTTGAAGGTGCATCAGCTACTCAGCCAGCCCAAACATCTGCAGAGCTAGAGCTAGTACAGTGAAGGGGGCCCCACCACAAGTTTTAGTACATTTGATATCCACCATGTCCACTACATTTTAATGTGGTTTGATGTGAAGCTCAGGTTTGCAGGGTTAGAACTTACTATAGCAATAACCAGAACATGAAGCTTCTGAAAGTAGCTGTAGTTTCAATACTCAGCTTATTACTCAGGCTTCTGAAATACATGGGTTTTTTTCCTTCCTTTCTGTGGGGTTGCCAGGTCCTTGTGGTCAAGGATGAGAATACTAGGAAGCAGGGCTTGTACTCATTGAGGAAAATGCTTCACTTTGCAGTTTGTCCGATGTGAAATTACTCTTAATGACCTTATGCAAAACTGTGTCTACAAACCCTTTCCATGCAAGTTACACTTCTTCCCTTGCTGTTGCTGCAAGTAGCTGTAATTCATTCTCTGCCCACAGGGACTGCTGCAGAACGTGCGGTTTGTGTTTGGAACAACTCTGGAAACCATCCTGAGGAACAAGGGCTGCTCCAGTGGTAAGTCTGAAGTTTTTCTGAATCCAGTGACCTATTAAAAAGAAATTCCTCAGTATGTTAGGAAGACAAGTTGAGACAGAACTCAGAAGTATGCTGATGTACAAATGCATAAGAAATTGGAGTATTTTTCTGCAGGCTCCCTAATGAATCTGGTAACAGCTGTCTAGCAGGTGTTACTAGGGAATGATAAAGGAGCATGGGGAAAATTTACCTTGCACTTTTACCTTGGCACTTACCCTATGTGTGTATTGTTGTCTCTTAGCCACGAGCGCGATCATTACGTTGGACAACCCCATCAATGGTTCCAGCCCAGCTATCCGCACCAATTACATTGGCCATAAAACGAAGGATCTCCAAGCAGTCTGTGGCTTTTCCTGTGATGAGCTAACAAACATGTTTGTGGAACTGCAAGGGCTACGGTCCATGGTTACCACACTTCAAGACAGAGTGCGCAAAGTGGTGAGTGCTCATTAAATATGTTACCTTCCATCAACTGGCACTTATTGAGTGAATTCTCGTTGTTTTTTTGGTATGGGCCTGGATGAACAATAGTGACTTTACTGTGGTCTGGTTGATCAGTCTTGTGGAAAAGTTGTTTTCTTTACTGAGCTCTAAATATCTTCTCTCCACTTCTTTCCACCTCTGAAGACTGAGGAAAATGAACTGATTGCTAAAGTGGTCCAGATCACTCCTGGAGTATGCATTCACAATGGGGTTTTGCACAAAAATAAAGAAGAGTGGACTATTGACAGCTGCACTGAATGTACTTGCCAGGTAAGAGTTCTCACATTCATAAATCCTCTGTATATAAATTCATGAGCTGAGATTTCCTTAATGACATTCTTTGTCTGAAAGTGAGTCCTACATAGAAATAGACATATTATAAAACCAAGAGATACTCTGCTTGTATTTCATCCTGCTGGATTCTGGTACGAATACAGCTTTCTTATGGTGGCAACATTTTAGAAAGATTATGCAGGGCATCCTTCTGATTAAAAGTCAGAAGGACATCTAATTCCATGATTTGGAGAGTGCCTGTGCTCTTTATGTAAATCCAAAGTAAAAGGTAGCACCAGAACCAGCTGTTATCAGCTTGCTTCTCTGAAATACCTTGGCTCCACCTTCTATCCTCACTGAACCTTGCTGAATACTCTAGTATCTGCTAGCTACCCATGTTTAACTTCTGCTAAACCAAAATAACTCTTAATAGAAAGTAATTAAGGAATATGGGAGAAGAAAATACAGGGATGGGTCAATGCTTAGCTAAGACTGGCATGACTCTTGCATTGTATCAGCTCTAAATACAAGTGCTTGTACTCTAAACATGCTGTTGTCTTTTTCTTAAGTGCTAGAATATTTTTTATCATTTGATCTTTTTTACATCCAAGTTCAGGCTCTACAGATTGTTTTATATTCCATTTGCTTATGTAGATTCTCAAAATTCTTTGCAGAACTCTGCCACTATATGCCAGAAAATCTCATGCCCTCTAATGCCTTGCTCCAATGCCACCGTTCCTGATGGAGAGTGCTGCCCTCGATGCTGGCGTAAGTACTTAAAACCACCTCACACTTCTGCAGCAATTGGCTCTAGATAGACATTATTGTAAAATGCACCACAACTAGGTATAGTCTTACACCACTGGTAGAGGTAAATTAGCCTGATGCCATTTTGCAATTTGAAACTCAAATATCCTTCACTTAAAAAGCCTATGGCATGCCAACTGCTATATTTACCTTGAACTGCCACTGCTCTACAGAGTGACCATTGTCATTCTGAAAATTACAATACTGCTGTCAAGTTTTAGATCTTACTGCATTTCTGAGAGAAAGTAAGGGTTTGGGGGCTCTTGGGATCAGAGACATTAAGACAAAATTCAAAAGGAGCTCTGAAATACAAGAATTAGCCTATCAAGTACATAGGCAGGAGATGCTATTGAGGTATATTAGACAGCTCTAATATGTTGTATTTACTAGTGAATGCCTTTCAGTAGTCTCTAGAACAAACTAGCATAGAAAGGTGTAAGAGCACTTCTTGTTTTGGCATAATTTACAACTGTTCCTTCTGGATCTGAATGCAGGACAGGCTCTTGTATACTGATTGGGTATCCTTGTGCCTTAAAGTAAGCTGGAGGTTGACAGAAGAAACTACTTGGTTCCTATCTGAGCCCGAAACACATAGGTGATGTGTGTGGGCACTGATACGTTTTAGTTCATGGCATTTATCTTGTAAGAAAGAGGCCTGTAGTTTGAGAAGTATTTTGTCCATTTTGAAGAGGAGTGGGGGAAAAGACTATGTAGAATATCCCTGCAGTCTTACCTAGGCTGTAACAGACCTGCACACCTTTACAGCTAGCGACTATGCTGATGATGGATGGTCGCCTTGGTCTGAATGGACATCGTGTTCTGTGACCTGTGGGAATGGGATTCAGCAGCGAGGACGCTCCTGTGACAGCCTCAATAACCGCTGTGAAGGGTCTTCTGTGCAAACACGAACTTGCCACCTTCAGGAGTGTGATAAGAGGTGTAAGTACTTAATCTGCTCACGCTGGTAATAAAACACAGGGTACTTTTATTGGCTTAATACTTAACAGCAGAGATTATCCTGCTAAGCTGCCCTCCCTCAGAGAGGGAGTATTGGCTTCTAGCTCTGCAGACCTTTTTTATTCAGGTTAAAGGGACTGGGTAGTTCATGCAGTACACAAGCATGTTGAGACACTGCTCCCAAATCAAGACGTCAGGGAAATGTAGGTGTGGGGTTTCTTCAATGAAAAAAACAACTAGCCTCCAACATACTGAGTCTTTGGTACAGCTTTTGTACTGGCTATGTTCTAGGAGCTGTGCAACTAAAGCTTGTTCTTGAAAAACTGTTATTAACAGATCTCTTAGTCTTTGGTACAGCTTTTGTACTGGCTGTGTTCTAGGAGCTGTGCAACTAAAGCCTGTTCTTGAAAAACCGTTATTAATAACAGATCTCTCCATCCTGCAGTTAAACAGGACGGTGGCTGGAGCCACTGGTCACCATGGTCATCATGTTCTGTCACTTGTGGCACGGGCATGATCACTAGAATTCGTCTCTGCAACTCTCCAGTACCACAGCTGAATGGGAAACCTTGTGAGGGTGAAGCAAGAGAAACCAAATCCTGCCAGAAAGATCCTTGCCCAAGTAAGTATGTCCAGATACCAACTACTGTTCATCAGCTTAAATAGTGACACTTTTGAATAGGCAGTTGCTATCTGTTCCTAGTAGTCCTCTCTTAAAGAGGTTTCAGACAAACTATTTTCTGTTGCAGTTATGATCTGACCCTTGCATGGAGTCCATTAGAACTGTTGTTTGTCTGAACAATACCTGAACTGTTCTCACTCTAAAAGCATTAGTCAGTGAGCTTACTAGTAATACAGCTGAATTTAAATCTGAACTTGTCTCCTAATTTCTGCCTCTCTCAGTTAATGGCAACTGGGGGCCATGGTCTCCATGGGATGTCTGCACTGTCACATGTGGTGGAGGACTTCAAAAGCGCAGTCGTCTCTGCAATAACCCAGAACCTCAGTATGGGGGGAAGACTTGTGTAGGTGAAGCCAAAGGGACCCAGGTCTGCAACAAACAGGACTGCCCAGTTGGTGAGTATACCTTTTCCTGCAAGCATCTGAAGATGGTGGTCCATCTTGAAAGCACTAATTATGGCTAAAGTCCCCCAAACACAAGTCTTAATTTTCAAGTGGCATACTGCAAAGTACTCAGTACTGCAGCGGTTTGGTAAGTGTTCCTCATCTTAACACTACCTGATTTCTGTTTCAGATGGGTGTCTGTCTAATCCTTGCTTTGCGGGAACAACATGTACCAGCTCCCCTGATGGCTCCTGGAAGTGTGGAGCCTGTCCAGCTGGCTACCATGGTGATGGTGTCCACTGCCAGGATATTGATGAGGTAAGAGGGATAGTTTGACACTTGAAACGGAACAGAAGAGAGTGGGAAGGGAGAAAAATCTCAGTGCTTTAAAATATTAATGTGCTTTCTCACAATCCCTCATTTCAGTGCAAAGAGGTTCCTGATGCCTGCTTTGTCTTCAATGGAGTGCACAGGTGTGAGAACACTGAACCTGGGTACAACTGCCTGCCTTGTCCTCCGCGTTTCACTGGGACACAGCCGTTTGGCCGCAGCGTTGAGGATGCCATGGCTAACAAGCAGGTATGGTCAACTTGAGATCTCTTCTGCATTACAAATTCTCATGCAACTTCTGGACAAAAAAGCCTAAGCATTTTGAGGAAGAGAGAAACAAGACTTGATAAAACTGTATTTTATTTGATAAAACACCATCCTCTGATTCGGAATCAGTTGGAGTTCAAAATGAGTTTTAAAATTCTTTTCCTAGGCCATAGGAAGCTTCAGAGGTTATAACTAATTTTAGGGGAATAAGCAGGTCCTTAAGTGCTTGGTTTCATTTGAAAATAAGAGATTTGAGCAAGAGAAATAATAATTGGTTACAAGTAACTGGTGCTGAGACTACTATTGGAGTTGCAGAGTGGAGGGAAAGGAAAGGATGAGAATTTTTTTCTGATTGAAGGAAAATCAAAATAGCCATGTATTCTTCATGCCATGTATTCTTCATTGATACCTCTGCGGGGGGAAAATGAGGGATTAAAAAGATGCTTCAAGTAGATTTGCTTATATCGTCTCCAGGTTTGCAAGCCACGCAATCCCTGCACAGATGGAACACATGACTGCAACAAGAATGCCAAATGCAATTATCTTGGCCACTTCAGTGACCCTATGTATCGCTGTGAATGTAAACCTGGCTATGCTGGCAATGGCATCATATGTGGGGAAGATACTGACTTGGATGGATGGCCAAATGAAAACCTTGTCTGTGTTGCCAATGCCACTTACCACTGTAAAAAAGTAAGTTTCTGCTGCTTCCCTGTCCACTGTTCTAACAGCTTGCCTATCTGAGGAACATACAAAATACTTTAGGCTTGAGCTGTAAAGCAAGCTGTTCTCTGATTAGAGCTATTAAATTTTCCTCTGTACAGATATGACAAGGAAAATGCTCCTCTGTGTGGGAGTACACTGTCATGGTAGGAGTATCTTGGTGTTGCCTTAGACATTTCTGGAATATGGAAAAAAGCTTAAAATTATAAATATTTATTCTAAATGTTTTAGAGATGTAGTTGAAGCTATACTTGTATCAACTCTTCTGACAGAATTGTTTTCATGGGAAGAAAGTGTATGCTCCTGGCTTTAGAAGTGATTTGAACTAAGGATTCTATACTTAATTAGTCATACTATTATGAGGTTAAAACCAGTAGTTATAGCAAAATAATACTGATTATTAACATATGATGATTGCACCTAGTGATTATACCTTGCCTGCTAAAACTCTACTGTAATTCATGCTAGCAGTAAACACAGCTATGTACTTCTTTCTAGGACAACTGCCCCAATCTGCCAAACTCTGGGCAGGAAGACTATGATAAGGATGGGATTGGTGATGCCTGTGACAATGATGATGATAATGATAGTATTCCTGATGACCGGGTAAGACAACACAAGAAACAGCCTTTGTGAATATAGCTCTCCCATCTCCTCCCTAGAGCCAGGGTCTAGTCTGTCTGACCTTCTTCTAGAAAAGAGCATAGAAAGCTGCTGGCCCTGACAGCTATCCTTGAAACCTTCACATATGCATAGCTATGCAGGTAAAATTCTCCTGCAGCTGGTTGAACTTTGGAAATGAATTTTTTAAGTCCTTAAACTCAGGCAAGCAAAGAAGTGTTTTGAGATAAAAGCATTTCAGTTTTAACTGTTTCTGCCTCCTGTTCCTCCTTTAATGTAGCAGCTTAAGCAGAATAGGCCTTTGTTAAAGGCTTGTTTTGGATCTTTCTAAAGTTTTTCTTTCTCTCCCTTTCAGGACAACTGTCCATTCATCTACAACCCACAGCAGTATGACTATGACAGGGATGATGTTGGTGACCGCTGTGATAACTGCCCCTACAATCACAACCCTGACCAGATCGACACTGACAACAACGGAGAAGGAGATGCCTGTGCAGTGGATATTGATGGAGATGGTGCGTGTCCTCTGATCACACCTTTAAACTGCCTCTAATCACAAATTGATCAAATATTGTCTTATGTGGTACCTCTGGGTATGAAATTCTGGTAAGAGGTTAAACACAAACTCGCTTCTGCTTTCAGGACATAATGGCTATGAAAGTAACACAGCTAATGGAAAGTTGCCTTACAATAAAGCCCTTTGGAGATGGCTAATTTTAGACCTATTTTCACAGGCAGTGGGAACAGAAAGAGGGGGCTGGGTCAGCTATTAGTGTGTCAGGGCTGTACAAGGGTCTTGCTGTGTTCATGTGTTTATGGCCAAATGTCACAGCTTTCAACAGCCCTTCTTTGTGCCATTTAGACTTTGGGGCTTGCATTCATAAGCTCTCCTTAACTTTGCAGGTGTTCTTAATGAAATGGACAACTGCCAGTATGTCTACAATGTAGACCAGAGGGATACAGACTTGGATGGAGTTGGAGATCAGTGTGACAACTGTCCACTAGAACACAATCCTGACCAGGTAGGGGACTTGCACTACCCAAATGGTGGATTTGAATGAAAGAAATGGGATATCTTGGGTGTATGTTAGGTCATATGTTTAGAACATATGTTAACATAAGAACATAGAACATACATACCAAGACAGATTTAAGCTGTAACTTATCATTCTTATTGACTAGCCAAGTGGTGCCTTTATCAGATGATAGTGTGTACTCACAGTTCAAACAGCTACTCGGTATTTTCTGAGAAGACTAGAACTCTTCTAGTTAAGGTCTGTGAGCCTACTGCATATAACCATCTCCTAAACATGTCTTAGGTGTCAGAAACAGTGATTCTCATACTATGGATCTGAAATTTCTGGGAGCACTGCATGAAACTTAGATGGATAAGAACTGCCCCTTCAGTATCCAATTCACTGCCAGGATATATTTTTATCAGGCTGCTACTATACAGAAAATCTGTTGGCAATCAAAGCTTATGTGAATGAGAGAAGGATTGGAGAAGCTGGCCACCTTGGAGTTCAGTTCCAGTCTTTCTGGAACAGAAGAAATGGCCAAATGCCCCTTAAACATAATTCCAGTACTTGCAGGATATACTACATATTAAAATTCTCTAGGAGGAGAGATACCTAATGATGCCTGAGAAGTATCTCAAACACGGTCAAGCATTAAATATGACCTTGCATTTTAGGTTATAAACCTTGTGTTTATAGGAACTTTAACCTTTGTCTTTTTTCAAAAACAGCTGCATTTCAAAAAAAATCACTCATCTACCAGTGTGGTGAAGCACAACTTGCTTTACTTTTCTAGGGCAAAGGGATATTCTGATACTTGCAAAGTTCTCCTACTTAAAGTCTAAGGGAAACCCAGGCTCCCACGCAGTTTGTTTGTTTGAAAACATTTTAAAGTGGAAGTGGACAAAGTGTGTGCTCTCCTGTCAAGTACAGGGCTTGAAGATCAATAGTTTCAGGGACATAACTAAAACCCTTCCAACTAGAAGGGTTAGAAAAGCTGCTGCATATCAGTGGCATCTTGGCTAATACTGTCATCTAGCCTATAAGCAGTGATACTTGAAAGATTAATTTTATTAAAGTTTAAATCTCAGTTGTCATTTACTTGGCTAATCTCTCCCCTGACAGGAGAAAGTGGCTAAAGATCCATTCTATTTCTCCATTACTTACAGGCAGTGCTTTTCTCTTAACACTTTGAAATATTAATTTAAGTCTCCAAGGCTTTCAAACAGCTTCTCCTCACCAAGCTGTAGAGGCAGAGATTAAATTCCAAACTGCAGAAATAGTAGCTATTGGAACTGTCATATGTCATCAGCATCAATATGGTCATCAGCATGTTGGCAAGACTAGGAGACTAAACCTTGAGGTAGCCTCTGAGATAAATGGATGTTTTTTATCTTATTTCAGAAACAGACTAAGCAAATGACCAGCTAAAATGTGGTCAACAGCTACGGACTTTACAGACTAATGCAGTAATAGTCTTATAGGCTTCTTATCCCAATTCTAGCTATAAAGACTCCTTTTTCTGTTAGCTTTTTCAAAAGTGTGTTTTTTCTGTGTTTTTTTTTTAATATTCTTTATTTCCCCCCTTCATAGGAAGATTCAGACTCTGACCGTATAGGTGATGAATGTGACAACAACCAGGACATAGATGAAGACGGTCATCAAAATAACCTTGATAACTGCCCCTATGTGCCCAATGCTAATCAAGCTGACCATGACAAGGATGGAAAAGGCGATGCCTGTGACCATGATGACGACAATGATGGCATCCCTGATGACAAGGATAACTGCAGACTGGTTGCCAACCCAGATCAAGCTGATTCTGATGGTAAGATGGCTGGTACTGTAGTAACTGAATTTCAAGTGTCTCCTCCAACTCTTATTATGTTTTCTTTGTACTCTCCTGTACTGGAGAAGTTACTTAAAAGTAATAAAGATTGTCTGTACTAGTGTTACAATATCCAGTAAAAGCAAGGAATAACCTCATGACCACATACCCATCTTATTGCTGATTCAGCCTGAACTCTCAGGATGGAGAGAAAGGGCCCTTGCACAGTACCTGATCTGGCAGTGGTTGTGTGTGTCTGCCAGAAGTACCTGGGCAGTCGGTGCTTTGCAGTGTAGACTTCAACCCCATGTTGTAAGACTTCTGTAACTGTAGTAACAAACAATTGCCAGTGCCTGATTTCTTGGAATTTGTCACAGTAAAATTGCTTGTACCCTGCAGGTGATGGACGTGGAGATGCTTGCAAAGATGACTTTGACCAAGATAGTGTGCCAGACATTGATGACATCTGCCCTGAAAATGTGGACATTAGTGAGACTGATTTCCGACGATTCCAGATGATTCCCCTGGATCCCAAGGGAACATCCCAAAATGATCCCAACTGGGTGGTTCGTCACCAGGGCAAAGAACTGGTTCAGACAGTCAACTGTGATCCTGGACTTGCAGTGGGTAAGATGAATGTTTTAAATCTTGCAGGCATTGTACCACTAGTTAGGGCAGAGGGGAGGGACTGACAAACTACTAAGTTTTTTTTTAAGCATCACAAAAAAAACATGGTCTCAGACTTTCTCCTTTAATGCCCATTTAGGTTTTGATGAATTCAATGCTGTGGACTTCAGTGGCACATTCTTCATCAACACAGAAAGAGATGATGATTATGCTGGCTTTGTATTTGGCTACCAATCCAGCAGTCGTTTCTATGTTGTCATGTGGAAGCAGATCACCCAGTCCTACTGGGACTCTACGCCAACCAAAGCTCAGGGCTACTCAGGTCTCTCCATCAAAGTAGTGAATTCCACCACAGGTCCAGGAGAACATCTTCGTAATGCTCTGTGGCACACAGGAAACACTCCAGGGCAGGTAAGAATGGCACTTTGATAAACTACTTCTCTGCATGATAAGGCAGGCTGTCCTTCCAATGAGTCAGACACTTGAGTCTGAGTTCTTGGCAAAGACAAGGAATAACTTCATAATTATCCACAAATGTGCAAAATCTTATATAAAGTTAATGGGGAACATGCCCTGCAGAAAGGGTATCCAGCACAAAAGACTGCCTCAGTTCTGGATTGCTGAAGTATGTTCCCATTTATTTAAAAGCAAAGGTAGCTAGTTTCAAAAGACCCCATTTCAGAGCCCACTGATAGTGTAACTCTTACTTCAAACAATCAATTATCAAGATACTTTCATGCCCCCAAAATGCCTAAGTATTTCAGAGCTATGATTGATTAACTATTTTTTTTGTAGGTGAGAACTTTGTGGCATGACCCTCGTCACATAGGCTGGAAAGACTTCACAGCGTACAGATGGCGGCTTAGCCATAGACCAAAGACTGGCTACATCAGGTGAGCACCATGCTTTTCTCTGAAAGAATAATCAAAAGTTAAAAGACTTGTAATCTAGAACTCTATAAGACAAACCTAACCGAAGTTTGTCAAAAATAACTTAACAATGTCTTTTTGTAGGGTTGTAATGTATGAAGGGAAAAAGATCATGGCAGACTCGGGACCAATCTATGATAAAACCTATGCTGGTGGTCGGCTAGGATTATTTGTCTTCTCTCAAGAAATGGTGTTCTTCTCAGATCTTAAATATGAATGCAGAGGTAAGGAGATTTTATTGATGTAACTTAATTTAGTTGATTCCTTAGCTTATACTTTATATAAAAAAAAAAAAAAAAAAAAGGCTTTGAGAAAGCTGCTCTAAGGACAGATCAAAAGAAGAGCTAGATGTCATTTTGTGGAATAATTTGTTCATGATATTTCATGGCTTGACTTCTAAGCAAGTTCTGTAGACATAAACAGGACACCTTTTTGTTACACTCAACACTTAAACTATATAAAATCTTAAGCATATTTCTATCCTGGGAATAGCAGAGGAATGGGAATCAAACTTAAGATATATTTTCTGAACTGAGAATTACTGTTTCTGGAAAAAAAAAAAAATCAACACAGATGTCAGAATTCTGCACATTCATCTTAGACTGCCTCTTAGCAAGAAAGTCATATCTGATATGTAAATGCACTAATTTGCTTACAAATGAGCAAATTAGAGTGCACACATGTCAGCCGCAGGTCTAAGGTGATGTGTCTATCGCCATAGAGCCAAGTGCCCTAGTCTTCCTTAAATTGTGACTTTTTATGAAACTGTTACATAAGTAGATTTTAAAATTTAACTCAAAGTACATAAGTGCTTTCAGTATCCTTTACCAAAATATATTTAATAAATGGCTTTAAGCATGATTAGGTCTAGAAATCAATGCTTAATGTAGAAACATTTAAACATTTATCTTTTTCTTCCTACAGACCCATAATCCCAAGATTACTGGATCCAGAGACTATTTAAAAATGCTGGTATTGCACCTTCTGAAACGTTTAGCCTTAAGTCCTGGGACCATTTATATTATTCCTTCCTTTCTTCTTTCTGCATAAATGTGGACTCAAAACACATGACCTGCCTCAAGAGAAAGCTTCTGAAAGAATGAAAGTGAGACCATACTTGGTGTCTGACCTCTGCTGGAATGGAAGGAAACAAATGTCTCTCGCAAATGAGAAATGTCTTCATGGAACAAGCACACTTCGGGGAGGAAAGACATTTGTTTTGCTGTTCATCGCAGTGTGGTGTCACTGCCTTGCTAACTGGAGGTCCCATGGAGTAGCATTTTGTAAAAAAAAACATCCTTGGATGTGCTGTGGACTACTTAAACTAAAGACCTTTCATTGTGTGGGGAGAAGAGTTTTTAGGGTGGGAGGGTAAATTCTAACCTTCCTTCTTTAACGGAGGAAGGGGAGTAACTTTTTTAATGGGGTTTGTGCTACCTTGGTTTACATCTATTTAACTTGGAGAAATGATTTTTTTTTTTTTTCCTTCCACATATTTCAGATGAAAATGCAGGCCTTAACTTGGGGAGACAGTGAGCTAGATCAGCTGCTCTATGATACAGGACTAAACAGGTATCCTCTTCCCACCTCCCACCATGGAAATCAGTCTTAAGATAAAAATTGGCACAGTGGATCACACCAGCTTTGGGAGAACTAGGAATTACCATTAGATTCTGTCTTTGCCTGCTTAGATGTATTTTCATTACCCTATCTGGCAGAGAACATTAAAGATGCCAGAGCAGCAGCATCTCAACTAGCACTATGCTGCCCTCCAGGGAACCAGCATCTGCTTTTTTTTTTTTTTTTTAATGGTTAAAAAGGCACAAAAACAATATAAATGGAAAAACATTCCTTTTCTACATGCCATAAACTCCTCATTTCTTGAGGAGGGGAAAGGGCCTGTAGTTAAAATAATTAAATTGTGAAATATTTATTTTTATCTATCCTTGATGTTATAACAAGTGAGGGATTATTGATTAAAACAAAATGCGGCAAGACTATCCACCTAATCATTGTTACAAGTCTTCATGACTAAGATTGTAAATACAGATTATTTATTAACTCTGCTCTATATGGAAACTAGAGTGTTTGGGTTTTCTGGATTTTTTTGTTTTTGTTGTTTTTATTTTCAATTGAGAAAAATCTTGTTTGGACCAGATAGTGGTGATGTCTTTGTTACAAAGAGCAATTTTCCCTTGCAGGATTTGATGCCCAAGGAGAAGGGGCAGGGTGGCAAAGGGAATGTTTGCTTTTCTCAGTCTGAGCACAGTGATGGCTTTTCCTTTCTCTGTGCAAGGCAGGCCCTGGCCTGGCAGGCTCCTCAGGCAGCCCTGAACCTCAAGGCCCCCTGGAGCACAGCACCTCCTGCCCCTCAGCCCTGGCAGCAGAGAGCAGGGCTGGCCACACTTATGTCCTTAGCAGCTCGTGCTGTGCAGTGCTTCTTCATGGCTCCCTGTGCCTGTTGCAGCCTTGCATTGTAACCAACCAGGTGCAGTGACTAAGAAGGAATTCTTCACACTAGCCAGGATCTTGGGAGCTCCTTAGAGAAGAGGGAGAGGCCTTGGCATGCATTAACTGATGACTGTTTCCCCAATGCAAGGGGCAGCATCCTTATACCTACAACATTTCCTCCAAAGGAATATTTCCTCTAAGAAGGAAAAGAACACAGTGAAAGTTTTACATACAAATATTACCTCATTGTTGTGTGACTGAGGAAAAACCTTAGGATCAAGCAGAGTTCAAGTGTCTAACAAACTTTAAAGCTACTGTAGTACTAAAATGTTAATGCTGTACATAGTCAAAAATTCTTTGCAAAAAAGTGTGTTCCCAGTAAGGAATGGCATTGGAAAAAATGCCAAGTACAATTTATAATGTTGTGTTATATTTTTTCTGTCATCTTGTATACCATTGCTTGTATTTTTATAAATTATTTTTTCTTGTTGCCATTGTTATAGTTAATCATGTAATGGTGTAGATATGCTATTTAAATAATTTATCATGAAGTGCTACCTGTAGAGTTAGTATTTCTATTTTTATAAAATGTTTGCACACTGAACTGAAGATTTTTTTTGCTTCCCTCTTCCCCCCCCCATGTTTTTGCTAGAAAATTTTCTAAGAACATGCTTTTTTTTGTAAACACTTTTAACCATTTTCCATTTTAAAGCTATGTAAGTTGTACAATAAAGCTTCTTACATACCAGGAACAATAAACCACCCTGGCCATTTATATTTATAGCTTCTTCATCTAGTCTTATTCATTATTTAGCATATTAGTGCTGCATGGAACTATGACAATACACAGCTCTGTTATTCATACCAAACCAACCTTCAAAAGATGATATCTCTACACTCTTTATGTAGAAACAATGATTATCCTAGAACTAGAAAGAGGCTGGGTCAAAGTGAGATTTCATCCCATGTCTAACTGCCCCTCCTGCAGCTAGGGAACATGAACCATCAAGGGCTTTGATGCTGAAGTTATCACTGAGGCTTCGTGTAAGTGCAGAAGCAGCCTCCCTGCCCTTCATAAAGCCACAGGGCAAAAGAACTTGAGGAATTTTAATCATTCCCAGCCAGGCCTTCATAGTTACTTGTCAATATCTATGGGTAGAGTAATTGCAAAGCTGATGATGTGGCACTAAATTAATTGCTGGAACACACTGCCTAAAATAAGAGCAGTGTCACTAGTTCTTCAGTCTTTACTTAGGGCTTCAGTTGTGGCCTGAGCTCTTCAGCAAAGCCAGATGCCAGATGAAGAGTGCTACATATCTGCTGCCAGGAGCAAAGTTAAGGAGTCTTGCAGAAATACATACTTCATTTTTTTATCTCTTTCTCCTGAAGCAAATTCTACACTGGTATAAATTTAAGGAAGCTTTACACAATTGATTTTATTTCCCCATTTTGACCTGCCCCATTTGACGTAGCTGCCAAGGAACTGAAATAACAGTTATATTTTAGTTATATTTTTCTTTTTCTGGAGTATTTGGTGCTCTATAAATACAGCTTGATCTCCCTCTTCATTATCAAAATAAGGTAGATATATTTATAAACTTACATTCACATGTATGCTACATATATTAAAGCCTTCTACAGCTTCACAAAGATGTAGCTCAGGGAGTTGAAAGAGCTTGTAAGAGCACAAATCATCAATTATGCAGCTCTGATCACTTCTCTGGTAGCAGCCCGAGCTGCTGAATGCCTGGACCACGAGCATGATCAGGCCAACTTAGCTTCAAAGAAAGATTTTCTTTGTGTAGAGCATCCTTTTCTAATGATGCTCCTACCTAGCAATCTTTCAGTGCAGAACCATTCTGCCTCCTTTTGGCTTGTTCACGAGAAACGACAAATGACACCACAACGCTCGCAGCCCTTTTAGCTGCATGAAAGGGCCAGCAAGTATGTCGTCTTACTTAGCTAGGGCTCACATGAACAGAAAGTGGAAGCTCAGTCGGATCTCTATCTGCAGAGCCTTGCTACGTTCTGAAAATTACAATGGGGCTGCCTTGCTCCGCTGATTACAGGAAAGCTCTGCCTTTAAAAGAAAAAAGGGGAAGAATGGGCCATGCTAACCTCGGGGAAAGGGAACCCCTGCACATACAAAGAGCAGTTCCTTCCGTGCCTCAGCTCTCCCTTTCACAGGACCCAGCAATGCAGGCCGGGCTGGGGTGAGGAGCACCCGGAGGCTCCAGGCTCCGCAGGCCGCAGCGGCCCAGGGAGGTGCTGAAGAGGAGCTGTCTGGAGCAAGGGGGACAGGAGGGTGACCGGCTAAAGAGTAGTTCGGGTTCCGGCAGCACAGTGGAGAGAAGAGACTTTGGTTTTGTTCTTTTTGTTGTGGTAATTACAGAAGCACCGAATAGCTGAGGTTGGAAGGGACCTCTGGAGATGGCCGAATCCAAGCCCTGATTAAAGGATCACTTCTCAGAACCCACGAGAATCAGAGCTGCTCTAAGAGCAGCTGAGAGGCAATGAGTACATAGCGTTTCAAGAGATCAACCACAACAGAGGCTGGTTCTGCCTCGCCTTGCAATCACCGGGGCAAAAATACCTTGTTTATTGTGAGGGTGACTGACTGCAAAGAGAACGCCGAGTCCTGTTCTGGCAGGATTTTTTTCGTTATTTTTCTGTCCCTAATATTCTGAAGACAATCCTCTACACCTTATATTATCCAAATGAGAACAGGTTGAAAAATAGCAAAAGGCTCCTGAGCTGCTTCACTTCACTGGCGTGGGGAGAGGCTGCTGCGCGGCTGCAGTGCCAGGGTAACCCTCTCCACCCCACGCAGGGCTGCTGCCCCAGCTCCTCTACAGCGGTGCCTCCTACACTCTGCCTCCGAGGGCCACCACGGGGCACAACCGTGAAAAGCAGAGAGAGTTCCTGCCTGAAGAGGTATCTATCTATCTCCACCATATTTGCAGCAAGTGTTAAATAATCTGGATTCAAAATGCCAGTCAGTTCTATGAACATATGTGCATGTGTACATACATATATGCATGTATTTATACATACAAAATCATAAGTTTAAAAAAGACAAGTCTCGGTACATGAAAAAGAATAGCACAGGTGCAATCCATCAAAGAGCAGCATCTGCCCAAGAGAAAGGAAGAATGCTACCCATGATTTGGCAGCAATATATGCAGTTCCTAATTGCCATTGATGTGGGGGAAGATACCCTTGGCAGTCCATTCCAATGATCTTGTTTGAGCCCAAGCCAAACTTTCACACTAATTTATTATATCCATTTACACAGCATATATCAGCGTAGCATCTGAATTGGCGATGATACATGGCTTAGAGTAATAAAGGCAAGCCATCTGTCTTGTGTTAACCGATAGGTTAACTCCACGTGCTGTCCCTTGGAGACTGCAGTGGGACACAAGAAAGGGCTATAGATGAGGAAAGGAAAGCCCACACTTACCCAAACTGAAAACTTCCTGACTGAGCAGGAAGGACATGGAAAGCAGCTACACTCTACAAGAGCTGCTAACTCCATACATGTAGTCCATGGGAAGTATCCTGTTCCCAGCTCCCTGCAGTCTCATCAGAGGGACACGTCAACACACCACCTACCACATGCTGCTTCTGGTGTCAAGGGTGCTAGGCCAGCCTTGGGGATAATTTAGCCTTTCAGCTTAATGGTACTGCAGAGAGAGAATCACAAGTGCAACGTTTTCTTATGATACTGTGTCCTTCTCAAAGCCCATGTAAATACAGTTGCTTAAGTTCTCATTCCAGTAAACCTATGTTCAACATGTATAGCTTAGCCTACAGAGACCTAACCTATTGAGATCAAGACTGAAATAACTGTCGCAAGGTCAGCATCTCAATGGCAATAATGCA